ATATATTGTATTATAATGTACATATTTCAGACTCTTAATATTATTTTTTCTCTTTCTCTATATATATTGTTGTTATATATTACAATACTCTTCTTAATATTAGTTCTATTTCTTTAATGTCTTGTGAGTACGTTGAGCAACTGTAACGCAACAAGTATTTCTGAAATAAAAGACAAAAAACATGCTTTTCCTGCCAATAAATATATAATAATATAAATAAATAACATTTATGGACATGGGATTTTTATAATAAAAGAAGATTAATCATGTAGACACGTGTTCTATACATGTAGTTTGTATTATAAGAAATTAAGGAACTATTTCAAGAGAAAAAAATTAAAAAAACCTAATCTGACTTTGTAATGCAAATATTTTTAGGAACATTAAAAACACAAAAAAAACAAGAGCGAGGCCCCAACAACCATAAACAAAACAAATAAATAAACACATAAATATATATAAGGGTAAATAAAACTAGTTTACATTGCAAAAATAAAAATAAATCAAGTAAAAATGAAATGACTACAACTACTTGTAGTGTAGATTGTCGTAACTGTGTCTAAAAACTTCATTTCCCAGAAGGCACCATGAAACCGGAAAGCGGCCTGTGCAGTGCCTGAATAAAATTGCTTTCGGGGTGCTTTTTAAGTCGTTTTCACCGAGATTTCTCAATAATTAATAAGTTGTATTCATATAAGGAATCAAACATGTATTATTTAGTTAAAAAAAATACCGAAACATGGTTGTGTTCTTATTTTTGATCCGGAGTTTGAGGCACTGGATCACGAGGACCATCATGCGGAAAAGTCTCGGGGATCTGATTATAATCAGAGCAACAAAAAACAACAAAACCTACCAGATAAACTTCCAGTTTTAACCGATTTAACGAGAGAAAACAGCCAAGAAAAGCTCAAAAACACACAAAAACACAAAATGTCGTCGGAGGAATTCGAGAAGTTGCACGAAATCTACAGATCGCTGTACGACGAGCTGAAGCTAATGCCGGAGAGAGTCCTCAGAAGTCACGGAGGTAAACAGTTCATGTTGTTGTTGTTGTTTGTTTGTTTACAGTGGAAACACAGTCGCATAGATTCAGGAGGTTGTTTGTGTTCACAGAGGAGAGGAAGAGGCTGGTGAGGACCTTCGATGAGAGGCAGGGGGAGGCTGAGGAAGTGGTGAGCTGCTCTCCTTCTCTATCTGCTTTCTGGGGAATTTATTCTGCTTTTACTCACTAAATGTTCCTTTTTATTTGTTTCATATATTGTCTTTTAAGATTAACTGCTTTGTTTTTGAGCAGTGGGGGGGGGAGTAGCAGTACCTCAGTGTTAAATACTCCATTGTTAAGTTAAAGTCCTGCTTTGATTTATTTATTGAATTAGTAAAAGAACTAAATATTATCACTAATATGCACTAAAATGTCACAAACTAATGCAGCCATATACACATAATAATAAGTTATTGTATATTATATAGATAAAGTTCAATCAGCACCTCTCTGTTCCAGTTTCAGTTTCATTATAATAAAAATTCAGTCATACAAAATGGTGCAGGTGGAGCTAATTTTATTATAATTATAATAATAATAAATTTTATTTATAAGCGCTTTTCTAAATACTCAAAGACACTTCACATAAAAACATAAAAGCAGCAAAGCAACATCAAATAGTAAAACCCTAAAAACTGACACAAATGTCCCATCTTTTATCCTCTAAAATAGATTTTATATGTTAAATTCTGCAAAGTAAATATGAACAATAGCTGTAAAATGATATAATAGAGGAAAAAGTACTACTATATGTTCCCTGTAGTGGAGTAGAAGTATAAAGTAGCATAAAATGGGCCTAAACATTGTACCTTTGTACAGTATTAAAGTAAATGTACCTCCCACTGCTGGTATTGAAGTTAGTTTTGTACATCCACATATAACGTGACCTAATGCTCAGAAGCCTCATCCACTTCTTTATCTGGAACTAACCATTACAATGTTCCTGTCTCTCCAGTTACAAGGAATGGAAGAAGAGCTGCGCGCTGCCCCTTCCTCCCACAAAAATGCTATGAGCACGAAGCTGCGTCTGTACCGACGGGATCTGGGCAAGCTGCAGAGGGACATGAAAAACAACGCTCCTGGCTTTGGTTCTCCTTTCCAGCAAGTGGAGGGAGGTCATCACGGCATCTATTCATCACAAAATCAGCAAAGTGTGAGTGTGGAGCTGTGGACCCTCAATAAATGCTGAATGAGCGAGGTGTCTTCTCATTATGAGGGTTAATAACAGAACCGAAACCCCTTACGTGTCTGTATGGTTGTGCAGTGTTATTATTGTGTGATATATGCAGCTACAAGGGAAGTCCTTAGTATTTCTGCTTTCAGGCTCTTTTGGGGGGTATTTTTTGTTCCTGTTAATAGTGTGACACTCAGCGAAATGATCAGTGTAATTACAAGTACATTTAAAAGCAGGAAATGTCTCAAAAAAGAAAGCACTTTTACTGTGAAATAACCCCAGGAATGTATTCAACTAAACTAACTGATGTCCATCTGAGAATGGCTTTTTTTCTCTTGTAAATGTTTCTTCCATCTTCTGTCACAATTAGTCGAATTAACCCTGGTTCGCTCTGTCATCTTTGCCCACCTGTGCAGACACACGTGCAGTCCCAGAGAGCCTTGCTGCTCCAGGGCACGGATTCCCTGAACAACGCCAGCCAGAGTATTGAACGAAGTCAGCGCATCGCCAGCGAGACGGAGCAGATCGGCACGGATATCATCGAGGAGCTGGGGGAGCAGAGGGAACAGCTGGACCGCACCAGAAACAGAGTGAGCTGCGGATTATTATGTTACTGTTACAGGATGAGCTCCTCGTACTGCATTAGGTTTAATCTGTGAGGGCAGATACACTGTTTTAGATGTTTTTATAGTTATACCTGAAACGTGGTACAGCTCAGGTTTGGGTCAATATGATTATTATTAGTCGGATTATTTTTATTACGTCAATATCGTGAGAAATAAAAACACAATTTATTATTGTTGGGAAATTATTTTGTTTAATGTGTTGCGTCTTTTGTCTATTTTGTAGTTGGTGAATACTGGAGAAAACCTCAGTCGAAGCAGAAAAATTCTTCGTGCTATGGCACGGCGGTAAGTGGTCCCCTAAAGCAGTTTAATTGATTTTGTTCTGTTTTTATTGATACACTAACGTTTTTGATTAATGTGGCGATTATATTCTCAATTTTGAATCTATAAAATATCACAATGTAGTGAAAAATGCCTATTATGATATCCTACATCCCCAGATAAGATCTTCAGTTGACTTTTTTTATTCAAACAACAGTCCAAAACCCAAAGATATTCAGTTAACTGTCATGTATGACAAAGAAATGCATCAAATTGTCACATCTGAGGAAGCTGCAACCAACAAATGTTAGTTCACTCTGAATGTTTAAAATGTCATTTAATTATCTATTTTTTTAATCCACCGAAGTGGTAACAGGTTCTTTGTGCTGTATCTTTCTTAAATGTGATTTTAAAGTAAAAATTTCATGAACTATTTCTGTAAATGCTCGTACAACAATGACCAGAGTCTCTGCTTATTTTTTTATTGTCTTACAGGCTGGTGACGAACAAGTTGCTGTTAGGGGTCATCATTTTAATGGAGTTGGCCATTCTAGGTGCTGTAATTTATCTGAAGTTCTTCCGGTGATCAAACTGTACCATCTGAGAACAGTCTACGCTCTGGATCCAGGGCAAACCTAGACTCTCTACATCTGTCTCAACTGACTATCCAGAAGCAATAATGTTCTTTTTCTGTGAGTGCAAATAAGCACAATGGATCAGTCTTAAAGTGAACCTTTACCAAGAGGGGATTCTGTTCATGGGCCGGCGAAGTTTCATTTGACAAGAAGTTTTTACCTGTTAATGGACCAAACACACAGAAGCTCCATGGACAAACTGTGAACTGAGATTTGCACTGTTTTACCAGGCTGTTAATGCCAATAATGCCCTGATTATCTGGACATGTGGGGGCTGCTACAGACCGCAGAGACGATTCTCTGTAAAGATTTGTTCAAGCATGAGTTCGATCTACTTACTCCCACATGTGCAGGTTCTCTGGTAGGAGACATGTTACTGGTAGACATTTCTCAAATTGGGATACTTTATTATTAGTTATCAAAACAGTTGCAATATAATGCAGCAGTATATGAAATACCACCAGTTTTTTTGTTGTGTTGTCCAGTATCCAAATGGTTGTATTAGGAATAATTTTCCTAATTTTGGATATTCGGACCAGAGGCCAAATTTGTCAGTCAGAGGTGTGAATGTGAAAAATGGATGGGAACTCTTAATACACGCAATGTTCTTAACAGTTAATGATATTGTCTAATCACTGTATGATACAAAAGTCATGTTTGAAATAGGGTTCATTTATGGGCTTATTTGACAGTCTACACATCATTAAAGCTAATCTTTAACCTCAGTTTGGGATGTATCTGATAATTTTCTAGGATGGCAGCCAAACAGGCCAGAGTAAAAAAAAAACATCTGCTGTTGAGTTGACGTCATTGTTACCGGCTGAAGCCCCAGACCGGACCAGGTTAGTGGTGTGTAAACAGCACCTGTTACTACGGAATTAATTCTCAAATAATAGGTGATAAGGTTATTTTTAGTGCTGTGTTTTGTGGCACATCTGCCATAATGTTTTTCTTCCGCGTAGTTATCATGCCTTGGTGTGTGACGCCAAGTACAAAAACATGTTTGGTGACCTTCTTGTGTGGATCGGGTGGAGGGTGGAGGGATAAGATAATGTTTGTTTTGTCTTTTTCTGAAGCGCTGCTTTCAAGCCCCTTAAAAAACTAAACAGCTTTAGGATGTTATATTGGGTAAATACTAAAGTTGTATAACCACATGTAAATTGTGTAATATTTATAAATGCTACTAATCAATCAATTTAACAATGATAACTATATAACAGTTACTACAATACTGAAAACAGTTCATATCAGAGGCCCCACGTCAAAAATATTATATAATCCAGATTATTATTGTTTAAATAATTTTTTAAAATGTAGGTTTGCATTTCTTTTTTGTTAAATATGACGTTAGTAATGGAAATATTTTCAGAATATTGCTCTTTCTTGTAGTACTTGTAGTATGAGATGACAGTACCAGCAATGGCCTCAAGACAATTGGAGTTTGAGACCCCTGGTTTATTTGAAACATTGGCCATTATTTCTTTATCCTCCCAGGCTGAAGTATCTCAACTATTAAATAGATTTTCATGTAATTTTGTACGGATGTTCATGGTCCCCAGAGGTTGAAGCCTAATGACTTTGATGATCCTATTACTTTTCTGCTAGCAGCATCATGAGGTTGACATTTGTGTTTTTTAGTGAAATGTCTCAATAACTATTGGGTGGATTGCCAGGACATTTAGTACACACATTCATGTTCCCCTCAGGATGAATCTTAATTTTTGGGGGGGTCTCAGATTTTTCATCTTGCGGCACCATCGGGTCAAATAATTAGTTTGTCTCTTTGATTTTTTATCATATACATGAAGATTTAGTGAAATTCCCATCAGACTTAGTTTCCTTTGTGCTTAGTGCTAATAAGCAAATCCTAGCATGATAACACACTAAACTAACGTAACCCCTTAGAGCCACTGGCATGTCTGTAGACCATAAAGTCTCGTTAAAATAGTGGATTTCTCATGTAAAAATTAAACTGTTTAGTTCTATAACTTTAGAATAACATGAAACAAACTAAGGAGGAAATAAGACACCTGTACACATGAGCAAAAAATGTAATCACATTTATGGAAGACCAAAATATAAACTCTTTGTTACAAGGACAATAGTCATTTAGTGGCCTCATCAGGTCAAACATAGACCAAGCGTTAGATCAGTTCAAGCAAAATATTTTTGCTAGCATTTGAATCAAAGCCAGATATTCATTTTCAATCCAATTGGTACTGACATTGTCAGTAAATATTATTAACACAGTAATTCTAATACATGTACTGGATCATTGTGAAAATACAAAAAACTACAGAAAATACAGTAACCACAGCTGGTCCAAAGTGCAAACACATCATTACTACTTTTTAGTAACTGGCACAGCCACAAAACGGTTTGGAGAATCCACGTTATACTGTGGACTTCAAACTAAGTCAAACTTGGTTTATCATACCTCTGAGGCAGGTTCATTCTCTTGTAAACCAAACCCACAATAAATATGTGGCAGCTGTGTCGTCTAACACATACTACAAACAGGAGCAACATAAGTTATTATTGCTGTTTAAATGAATGGTATTCCCATCAATAAGTGTAGTGGTTTCTAAATTATGTCGAGGGCTTTCATCTCCGAATTATTAATGTGAACTCTATAACTCCATAAAAGCCCATTAATAGTTTTATAAATCCAAACATAATTTAGCTTTTGTCATTAAACAACACTAAATGGCAAAGAGATGAGAACAAGAACTTCAAAACGTTAGCTATTTGATTCAGTCTTTGTGGAATGCTCAGAGACAATGTTGATAAAGTTCATAGCTTTGCTTCATGCTCTCAGAGGCGGAGCTGCTCTGTGTCCTCCTTCGCGGGAGGAATCTCATCGATGGACGGGTGAGCGCCTTCTCTCGTCTGTCCCAGTGATGACGCGATCACGTCAACCGCTAGAGAGGCTGTGGCCTCCACGGCTTCCTGGTTGGCCCCCAGCACGGGGTTTACTTCTACCAGGTCCATCGCTGACAGCAGACCTGCACATCAACACATCCACAAGTTAAGAACTAACTACTGACAGTAAAAGTCCTTTTAAGGACCCAGAAACAGACAAAATAAGCTTTTAAAGCAGCATTAAGCTGTCTATTGAGGATGTTGCGACCATATTTGTAATGATCTGTACCTGTGTTATGGATTTCCTCTGTGATGTAGATTCCCTCCCTGTAGGTCAAACCTCCGTTCACTGGCGTTCCCGTGGCTGGAGCCAGAGACGGGTCGAATGCATCGATGTCAAAGCTCAAGTGGATCGGTCGCTGTTTTCTGTTCAAAGAGGGGAGAAAGTTAAAGTGTGAATTTAAGGTTCACTTTAACTCGGGCATGAGCAAGACAAAAATAGATTTGAGAAAAAAGTTAAGTATATGAAACCTTAAAAAATATTATATAATCATGTTAAAATGTGTAACAGTAAAAGAATATTAGAATCTGTTCAACATACCTTGCCAGAAGATGGTCAAAAGTGACTTCCATGACCCTTTGGATGCCTAGTCTGTCGATATCCCTCATGGTGAAGTACTGGATACCCAGGTTCTTCAGGATGTGGCTGTGATAAACAACATCCGAAAAATCAGGAACTAATTTCGCAGTGCTTATCTGTTGGAAAGTTACGTTCTTATAATCAGCCACATCTGGAATGTACGTATGGTATGTACTTACTGCTCTCCGGGGTCAACATCCCGCAGGCCAATGTACACCAGGTCGCTCGAGGAGAGGCAGGGCTTCATCCAGGAGAACCCAGGGATATCTGGCATCTGTACAGACAGAGATAATGTTATATGTAATATGTAATCATAAGTCTGAAAGGTGGCTAAAATGTGCTTCTAAACTGACCTGACTGGTTGTTGTAGAACTTGTTTATTGCCAAATATTTAAATATATATGTATTACTGAACGGGCCTACAGCTGAACAGGTGTTTGATGTGATTGTCTGTTTCTATGAGTGTGTTTTTTTGCTCTTGACCTTGATCGGTATTTTAATGAGTATCTGCCAACCAAATCCAACATTTGTGTTTATCTATTTCCTCCTTCGTATTACAGCTGCACAGAAAACTGAGACTGCATTCATATTTCATTAAAATACAGTAACATTAGTCATTAAATCAGTATGTTGAATCTCAAACTGTGTGTATGTATATACTAAATACTGCTAAATGTAACTGAAAGAGACTCAAAATGTTTCCATGTCTATGTTGGAGGGGCCATTATCTCATAATCTGTCCATGTTGCATAGGAGGAAGTTCTGTGTTGCATTACTACTGGTTGTAGTTGAAGTCGATGGAGGTTCCTGGATTACTTCATACACCTTTCTGTAAAGTTTAGTTCCTGCTACAAAGTGCCTGCTGACGTCCTGTTTAAATTTTGTTTTTAGTGAAGCCTAATGTTTCTCCTCACCTTGTCTTGCAGCTCTTTGAGCATGAATGCCACAGGCTGGCCATGGAGGTTTCCTGATGGAGAAGTCATGGGTGTATTTACATCTGCATGAGCATCAACCCAGATGAGACACAGGTCAGGACACTGCTGGGCATGCCCTCCCACTGATCCAATAGCAAGGCTGTAAAAGGAGAACAGCTCTTTAAATATCTGTGCGTGTGTCCTTGCAAGGGTGTTGTAGCGCATAAGGTAAAATGATATACAGTAGGCTCAGGGCGCCTAAATACTGTACTAGTTGCACTGTATGATTTCAGGACAGATGCTCCTCTTCACGTACAGCAAGTTTCTGTGTTCTTACCTGTGATCACCTCCCAGCATGACAAGGGTGTGCCCGGCACCGACAGCTCTGCTCACTGCGCCAGACAGCATCTTATTCGCTGCACCCACATTGCGAGGGAACTTCACATCCATGTAGGGTTCATCCTTCTCAAGGTGGTGGAAGTTAAGGTCGCCAAAGTCGTGGACAGAGTAGTCTGAGGAACACAAAACAAAGCCATCAATTCAAGCCCTTGAGTCACTGTTTTGGTGAGGTTTACAGTGACTACATATTGACACAGACACACTGGCTGTTGCATGAAAGGAACCTGCAATCTTGGTTGTGGACAATCTCTAATCCTTCGGGCATTGCCCCCGTTATCTGCTTTTCAGAAACACTTGTGCTTTGAAGACTGCAGGTGCCATTTTCAGTCTAATAGCCCACATAGTCTACGGCCTGGACAGCATGACTTAACATGCATTTGTCTAGCTTACAGCCTGAGGACGCTGAGTCATTCAGTGCCAGTGGAACATTAGTGACGGAGCACTTTCCACTTGTCCAGTTTCTCCCGGCAGCTCAGGTTTCGCTGCAGTTCACATTATGCTATGTGGCTGCAGAAGTAAAGACCGAAAAATTTCCACTTAGTTTGGGACACGGACTGTGGAGTAAACAAGTGATGTGATCCACCATGTTGGGGGCTCATCTGGCAATGTGAGCCTTGATGGCAGTATAGTGTTACTCTGCTGATCTAAGGGGAACCAATGTGGTTCATTTCCATTCGTAGACAGGACAGGAATAGCCCTTGTCTTGGTGCAATCGTGAGCATCTATTGCAGGACAATTAAAAAAGTCTTTTAAAGAAGCGACGGGCTGCGACGTCCGCTTCTGTTTACTGTGAAATGCAAGATTACAGCTGCTACTGTAAGTGTGCTGTTTACTTAAGTTAAATCACAAAGAGAACTGGTCTGATTATATGTGCGATTCTCCCCTGAGAGAGTTTTTGTCGTGAGAAGATTTCAAGATGATATGGTATTTAGTTCAGGTGGGGTTTGGTTTCATGTGGCTCAGCTACAGCTGTTTTTTTTCACTGCTGCCAAACTGACATCAGGCCACCAGGACGATGACTCTTCTCCAACTCCGTGCCTTCAGCTTCAAAAGACTGAGGACATTTTTCAAACCTTTAATTTTAAAAGGGTTTATTTATTTATTTATTACTTATTTTGTATGAAACCATGTAATTGCAGGCTATAGTAATGTTCTTGTAATGTAATATTTTTTTGGCTCCACTTCTGGGATATCTAATATACTATATATACACACTAGTATAGTATTAGTAGTATAGAATATATACTAAGGTAAAAATTATGATAGGTTTATTTTTTATATTTATAGTACTTTCAGAATAGAACACTTGAAACATGTTTGTAATTCTGTTAACTGTAATCTGGACCAAGATTAAATATCTAGAACATATAACTGTTAATACACTCAAACATATTAGGTGGGTGCCATAAGCTGCACAATAATAAATGTATACAGTTCAGATAACTGCATGCATTAATAACTGTGTTCCTGCTGTCACAATAACAGAATACAGAATATCAGTTGCAGAAGATAAAATGATGTCCCAACAGTAGAAATAGGATGGGGAGGGTGTGCCTGTTGCACAACATCTGATGTTTACAGCTGATGAGCAGATGAATGAGACCAGACAGCTGGGATTACCTGGCAAATGCTGTAACTCTCTGTTTAATTGGCTACAACACAGGCACATGATGTCCTTAACTGTCTACACTGTCCATTGTGTGAAGACTTTACATGAAGCTGCCATTATCACTGACAATTCTATTTATCCACCCCAATAGTCTGTGTGACACTCTATTGAATGTATTTATAGCAACCTTATCATACATATGGTAGCTAAATTGTAATCTCCTGTGGAGTCAACAGACACTTCTGGCTTAACACCCCCTCTGAGCCATTCGGTACATAGTGACCTGCAGATAGGTATTTTTCCTTTTATTATTGTATAAAAATAATATTTTTGTAAAATAATCCTGCCTACAGTATACCACTAGGTGTTTTTTTTTTGTATTGTTTTCAAGGATTCAAGGTTAGTTTATTGTCATTTACAGCACAGGGATGTATAATGGAAATGAGATTGTAGTTCCCTTTATACTACTCATAAAACAATTTTAAAGAATTATTAATAAGTCATAAAAATAACTTTGGGCTAACTTGTAGGCTAATTTTTTTTATTAACTTAAATGATTACCATCACGATACAAATAATTGGTTAAAGCCCTCATTACCTTATTGTACCCACGGGTATTTTGGATCTGCTGTGGCTCCATATTAATCTTCAGTGTCCTTCAGTAGAGACTTTATCTGTCTATCTGTCTTTATCTGTCTGCACTTCACACTGAACACAGTACATGTTCAAATCTGCTACAGCAGGATGTATTCCCATTATCCCTGTGGCTCATTCCTCTATTATTAGGTAAATCTCCTTTGTTTCCATTGCATGTGGGTGAATGCAAACTCATTGACCTGGGCGTTAAAATAAAAACGGGATTCTTTCCGCCTGAAGCTGTCCTTTTTCAGCTTCAAAGCAGCACTCCCTTCCCTTCTACCGGAGGCGGAGAAACCCGACATACAAAAGAGTTGTTACAGTGGGGTGAGTCTGTCTGCAGTGACGCCAGAGAGCAAATAAAATGAGCCATCCGTTTCCTGCAGCCTTCCGAGCATGTGCCGGGGACAAGAATGACTAAACCATGTGCTTACCCGCTTTAGAAATCACCCTGTGTCCTCTAATGTGTGTGTGGTGTTTCACAGAGGGACCCTGGGGTACTTTATGGAGGGTTTTATTTATTTTTTACCCTTGTATGGTATCGCTTTAGTACGGTCGTTGCCTTTTCCCGCGGAGGAGCTCTATCATGAGTTTGTAGTCGCCATTATTTTAATTTCATTTCATCATTTATTTAAAATGTGCCTTTTGATTTTATTCCATCAAGCTCCTCAAAACAATACATGTAATTTATCCTATTTAAATACATCCCATTATATGATCTATTACTGTACCCTATAATTTATCCCGGAAAGGATTTTTTTTTTTTAACCCGGACTAAAGTAGAGATGACTCTGTTCTCTGAGGTCTGTGTGCCGGTATAACCTCTCCCAGGCTACATGCGAATGTTTATATTTAAGGTGTCCCGGTGATGTAACTGGTTTAAATCTGTCTGAATGCTGGGTGCAGGTTACACCCATCCACTGTTACATAACACAGCAGCACCGGCTGGCTCCATTATCACAGCCCGTCTCCCCTCACCTACCCAACCCGGAGAGCCTCTCGATGAGCCCCGCATCCCTGATGACTTTAGGTCCGTGCTCCACGCCTCTCCTTTTCTGTCACAGGGGACAAACAGACATTAAGTTAAGTTCAGATGTCTGGGTTTAAAATAAAAGTCCAGTTTGCTTTCCCCCCCCTCCCTTACCTGTCCTCTTGAAAACGGAGCTCCCAGCACAGCCACAGACTGAGCTCTGCTTTGCTGGGAAGTGTGACTCAGCTGAGTTCTGAGAAGACGGAATAAAGGTCCCCTCAAAGCCATTGTTTCTTCTTTCTTTTTAAAAATAAAATCCCGAATGGACCCAAATCTAGCGGACACAAGTGGCCGAGAGAAAGTCTGATGAAAGCCCTGTGAGATGTTGCCCTGGTGGATGCTGAATGTGGCCGCGTTGGTGCAAGAGGCCGGTCTTATGTTCCCCTAAAGCTGCTTAATATTCATGAGCTGCTGACTGTGAGCGCCAGGGCATCGATGGTAGAAATGAGCACAACCCTAATTTATTCACAGACAGGATGGGAAGGAGCCGGTTGCGCTCAGTGGTTGCGTCTTAGAAACTTTTATTACTGGAAGTACATGTATAGCGTCTGACGTCAGCGCGGATGACACACCTTCGGGTTGGCCAATAGGAAGTGGCGAAATAAGTGGGTTCGCTCAGTGGGCGTGGCCTGCGAGCTCATATAGGCCAAGTGTTTTTTGTTGTTGTGAAGCGTTAAACTGCAGTGTTATCTGGGCTAGGTGGAAATTTCCAGAGACGCAGCCAAGCGGGGCAGATAGGCTTGTTTACATTGGAGCATTTGGCCTGGATGTTTGTCCACACGTGTCCAAAAAGATCCGACCAAAACATATCGGTTTTCAGGTCAAGAACTATCATCTTTTCATATATTATCTAGGGGACTCTATTCTAGGGTCCCTGTCAGTGGCGACAGAGGCATTATTATTATTATTATTATTATTATTATTATTATTATTATTATAGTTTTTCCTATTATACCACAATGTAACAACAGGCTATATTTTACTTACTTTAAGTTAAAGTTTAAAATCTTAATTTAAAGTACTAAAGTGAATCAGCAAATGCACTTAAATAATCAAAAGTTAAAGAGGCTGCTGGTTATGTAGAAAAAAAAATCATATTTTATACACTATTATATTATTATTATTAATGATGTATAAAGTGAATGTAAGTAGGAGGTTACTGTTTATCTGGTCGAGGAAGAGCTAATTTGAACTACTTTAGAAACAGCTGGGGTTTTTTTGTCTGTAATCTTAATCTGCAAAGTGACTTCTCACTATAGCTGTAAACATAGAATGGAAACACCCATTAAATATACTTTATGACATTTCGCCACTGCCAAATTCAGTGTCTGTTAGCTGTGATAGGAAATGATAATAATAAAAAGACATATTCATCTTATTTCTGTATATAAAGTCTTACTCCTGGTTTGGTTTTATTCTCTTATTAAACAATAATGTTCTTGCAAACACAAACAGTAACAGCAACAAAATATAAAAACGCAGATACAATGTAAAAAACAAAAGCACACAGATTTCTTTATATATATGCAAAGACTAAACTAACAAACAAACAAATAATTTAACATAAGTAAATAGATTTTACCACAGTTGTGAATCTATTCTTTGTTATTCTCATTTCTCGTTGGACTTCTAGAACAGTTGTTGCTGAGTGTCTTTCTCCTTACATAATCAGCCTGTTCGGGCACACTGGTGGATGAACCATTGGCAGTATATGTATGAACACGTTGGGAGGGCGCGCTCGCTGCAGAATAAAGAAAAGCTTTTGGCGCCACCAAGTGTTTGAAATGCAGAATACAGAGAATTTAATATCGTTAAAAGGACTACAAGTGTCCCCGATTAAAGCCTGTAAGGCATCACTTTTAGCCTGGATGGGGACAAATCTCATCATCCTACGATTTTAGTCCAACTAAGGTCCTACAGATTTCTATTTATAGGGAGGTTGCAGTCTGGGAATAACCCTTTAAGGTACGCACCATGAAAAAAGCAAAGGAAAAATTATTTCTTTGCATTTTTTATTCAATTATGATAACAATAACAACAATCAATAGTTTTTTTTAAATTAGACCCTACAGTATTTTAGATACAGTCCTCTACCAAACGGTTGAGACGTCTGTTCATAATAAAAGAACAACAAAAAGTCATATTAAGTGCAATTTCTTGACCAATAAAAAATCTGATGGCTGCTATTGATGGCTCCAAACACATCAAGTGTGTTTCAGGTTTTTTTTCTTTTTAATGTCAGTGGGAGAAAAAGAAAACCTCCACTAAGCTTTACAGACACTGTCATGAATATGGTCAGACTACAATAAACCACTGTGCAGTAAGGTCTTCTTTGTAGAGTTTTAAAGACGATATAAAACAAATACAACAAATATTTTTGGTGGTCATGCAACAGCACAAATGGTTTTTGACCTGTTGTGCAACTGCACTAATGATTTTGGTCAGGGGTGCAACAGCAGCGGTGCAACAGCACTTATTTTGCCTT